ACACACACACACACACACACACACACACACACATATAGCATATCAAGATTAAAGTTAAACATTGAAAGTCCTGCTCGCACTTGTGTAGCCTATATAGTGGCAATGAACGGTCATCTTCTTTAAAGGGTTAGTTCACCCAAAAATTAAAATGCTGTCATTAATTACCCTCATGTCGTTCCAAACCAGTAAGACAAGATACAATTACGGTTGAACCACTGATGTCACATGGATCATTTTAACAATGTCTTTACTACGTTTCTGTACCTTGGTCGTGGTAGTACCCTTGCTGTCTATGGGAGGGTCAGAGAGCTCTCAGATTTCATCAAAAATATCTTAATTTGTGTTCTGAAGATGAACAAAGTTCTTACAGGTTTGGAACGACATGAGGGTGAGTAATTAATGACAGCATTTTCATTTTTGGGTGAACTATCCCTTTAAAGAAAGTGACCATTCATTGCCATCCTTTTTTATATGGTTGAAGATCATCGTTCATTCGCATTGTGGACCATGCAGCTCGAGCAGGGCATTTTTATTTCTCTTTGTGTTGTGAAAATAAATGGTCACCATATATCTTTTGAGCAACACCAGGGAGAGTAAATAAGGGCTGAATTTTTATATTACGTTTATATTGTGTGAACTTTCCCTTTAAGCAATATCCACGAGCAAGAGCGTTGCATTTTGGAATGTCTGACAAATGTCTGCATCGAGTCTATGGCTAAATCCGTGCTGATAGTTGAAAAAACAACGCTATTGCGATGCTGATATTGCTTTTATACAACAATTCAATAAACAAGAAGTTCATATTAAGTAACACAGTGTTGCAGGTACAGTTGTCTGTTTGGTTCTGCCATCGCAAGAAGTTCCAAGCAACCTCGAAAAAAGAAATCCGCAAGTCTTTTGAATGAATGATTCAATGACGCACTGTACACTGAAAAAAATGACCATGAATTTAACGGTAAAAGACTGTAAAAATGCTACAGTAAAAACCTGTTAAATGGTTCACGGCAAATTCCCCTACTTTATACGGTTAAAAACTGTATTGGACCTAACATGTATTGGATATTAATTTTATGGTAGTACACAGTTTTTGGAAGTGAAAAAGACCGTATAATTTACAGTGAATAACCGTAAATTGACATTCCCAGAATTCCCTGCATTACATTTAAAATGGGATGTTTTTTGTTGAAATAACTATGTTTCTTTTTAGTTTATTCTTATCAGTTGTGTGTTACACCTAATGTTGTTAAATGAATGTTTCTTGCATTATTTCAGTTTCATGTGTGTTACCATGATGGTGTTTAGTGTTTGTGTGAATGACACTGTGCACCTTCTATATATGTTATTATTTAAAAGCTGCTTGTGTAGTACACAGTTTTTGGAAGTGAAAAAGACCGTATAATTTACAGTGAATAACCGTAAATTGACATTCCCAGAATTCCCTGCATTACATTTAAAATTGGATGTTTTTTGTTGAAATAACTATGTTTCTTATCAGTTGTGTGTTACACCTAATGTTGTTAAATGAATGTTTCTTGCATTATTTCAGTTTCATGTGTGTTACCATGATGGTGTTTAGTGTTTGTGTGAATGACACTGTGCACCTTCTATATATGTTATTATTTAAAAGCTGCTTGTGATGGGCTTTGGTTCATCATGTGATTTTCTCATCACCACCTGCATTGGGTGGTTATCAGTGTATTACAAAGGTACAAAACAGATTTCAGTACTTCAATAAGGTTGGTATATTAACATTATATCAGTTAATGAAATTACGGTATTTAACTGTAAATTTAAGTTAAAACTGTAAAACCAAAAACGTCGCTACCATATTTTTTATGGTAAAATTCCGGCAACCACAGCTGCAGTTTTTTTACCGTAAATTTTACGGATTTTTTTTTACAGTGTAGCTGCATCCCTCCAGAGGTCGCATTTGTCAGCCGCAGCTGCCTCATTAAA